TTCCTATTCTTTCTACTTCTTAATCTCTTTTTTTGCTATTATAAATAAAATTGGCAACCACTAACCTATTCCAACTCCATAGTTTTCTTACCTTAGTAATGCATTGAGCTGGGTAGGGTGGTGCACACCTATAATCCCAACACTGAAAGTTGAAGAGGGAAGAGTACTGTGAGTTCAAGGCTAGCTGGGGCTCACAACTAGTCTGAACTAGACCCTGTCTCAGGAAAAAAAAAAAAAAGAAAGAAAAGGAAGGAAGGAAGGAAGGAAGAATACATTTGTCTGTCAAGTACAGTGGACCAAGCCTATAATCCCAGCATTTGGGAAGTTGAGGCAAGAGGATCACAAATTCAAAGCCAACCTAATCTACATGAAAAATTGAAGGCCAGGGGCCAGGGAGATGGCTCAGTGGAATAAGCGCTTCCCTAGCAAGTGCAAGGGTCTGAGTTCAATCCCCGGTTCCGAAGGGGGAAAAAAAAACCCGGAAGCTGCCCCTTCCCGGGGTCATGATGGGCAGCAAGATGGCATCTGCCAGTCGGGTCGTCCAGGCAGTGAAGCCACATACACCATTAATAAGGTTCCCTGACAGAAGAGACAATCCTAAACCCAGTGTATCAGAAGCTTTGAGATCTGCAGGGATCCCACCTCTTTCCTCTGTAATTTCACAGCATTCTAAAGGGAGTAAATCACCGGACCTGCTGATGCATCCAGGTCTACCAGACACTGCAGAAATAATAAAAACACTACCTCAGAAGTACAGAAGGAAACTGATATCTCAGGAGGAAATGGAGTTTATCCAACATGGAGGTCCAGAATGATGACTGGCTGCTGTTTGTCATCAGACAGAAGATTATCTTTATAATGAAGTACTTCCAAAATGACATATGAAAAATTGTATATTAAATAACCTTAATAAATATTCTACAAAAAGAAAAAAAAATACAGAAAATTTAGATGGACACATGGATATTCTAATTTATGTATCCTGGTCAGCTTCTCCACCTAATTGTTTATATACCTACTGCTTATTAAAGTATACATTTGGAAAAAATAAAAATAAATAAATAAATAAATTGAAGGCCAGCCTGAACTGCATAGCAAGAGCCTGTATTAAAAAAAAAAGAATATTGACACAATAAGTTACATTAGTGTGATTCCTGTATTTAGCATTCTTGGAGAGGTTTATGTTCTACTAGTGATCAAACCCAGAAGCACTCTCCCACAGAGCCACATCCCTGCCCTTCATAAATTTTATGTTATAAAGCAAGGGAATTGCTGTGAGTTTGAGGCCAACCTGGGCTACATTATGAGTTGAAGGCCAGCCTGAATGACATGGAAAGACTGTGTCTCATAACAAAAAAGAATGACAAAGTCATTTTTTTTTCATTTTATTATAATCTCAGCTTTTTTAGCATTATGACTTGAAAGCTTAAGACATTTAAAAAGTCATAGATACCACTAAGAAGAATATATGCAGTGTATTATTTGTTGAAACTGTACTTTCGATTTGATTTGAAACTGTCTCATTGCTATATGTTTATCAATAAA